AACCCCCCCCCCCCCCCCAGTCGTCTCCCCCCCCCCCCCTTTTTTTTTTTTTTTTTTTTTGTTCCGAGGGTTGCTCTAAGTTTCGGAAGAGACCGATATCTAGTGAGAGGTCGGGTTCACTGTGGGGGGGAGAGCACCTCATCTTCGTTGAAGGCGTCCTTCTTTCTTTCTTCTCCCCCTCCCCACCACCTGAAGTCGGAAGAGCGGCTTCGCCCGGAGTGATGGGCTATTTCTTTAAATGAGAAAGTCTGAGAAATGCCTCTTTCTGTGGAGGACAACGCCAGCTCCGCTGCCATAATGCACGGGCAAAAACAAGCGAGTGTTTCCGTCCTCATGACAACATCTGGAGCCGCCGGGACCCAAAGGTAGGGATTTTATCCTCCCATCACAGTTTCCGATCTCTTTCGCAGTAAACGCGTGTAGAGAGGTGCGCGTTTTACTTGATCGCGAGTGTCTTTATGTGAGGAAAGCGCGCTGCCTTTACGCGCAGTTTTGCCTTCTCGTGTTCATCCCCAAGTAATTAATTTCATTAAGGGGCCATATCTGTCGCATTGCACTGGGTCTCTTGCGATGGAGGAGGATGTTGATAAAGAACTCACACAGTCACCCACTTACGACTGCTGAAGCTAAAATCCTACTCTGTTGTTTTTTCAGCGACTCAACTTCTGTCCAGTATTATCAGGATATATGTCTTTATAAGATCGAGTAGAGGTTGGAGTAAAAACACCTGCTTGGACAAACAGTGTTAAAGAATTCATTTTTCCTTAATGAAGAAATCAAAGGGTGGAAAAGAAACAAAGAACGCTATTGGGTTTTGTGTGTGTGTGTGTGTGTGTGTGTGTGTGTGTGTGTGTGTGTGTGTGTGTGTGTGTGTGTGTGTGTGAATGATTACGTTATCTCCCCTTAAAGCATTTGCGATTTATATGTTTAATCTCTAATTGAAAAAGTACAACTATTTTGTGGATCCATAAAGTGATATAATTCAAACGTCTATGTTTTAAGCAATTTTAGTCATTAGTGTTTTCAGCTAATAAACACACAATTTTTTTTTTGTTTCTGAGATTATTTGAATGTTCCATGAGACCAATAAAAATACTTTGTTGGAAAGGCTTTGTGTTCATGTCTACACAGTCTTTGATGCTGTCCTCAAAGAGGGTAAGCCACCAAAAATCACTGCTTGAAAAGCTGGCTGTTCCCAGATGGCTGCGTCACAGCGTATTTGTGGAAAGCTTAGTGGAAGGAAAAAGTATGAGATGTGTCCAGAGCCTCTGTTTCAATAGCCACAGGTTTGAATTGTCCCATTACGTACTGACGTGAATCGAATGGTTAAACTGAGGAGGGGGCTGAAGATTAGGGTTATTACAGAGAAAGGTGTAAATTGGTTTGTGGAAATGCCATTTTTTACAAAATAAAATAATAAATGCAGTTTTTTTTTTTTTTTTTTTTTCAAAAATCAATTCCTCGTTTTCTGTCTTATCTTTTGAGAGATGCCTGTTTCATTTTCTATAAGAAACAAACTTTTTGTCTGAATGAAAAGATGAAACTAAGTCTACGTCTAACAGAAGGTGTGAATAATTTAGATTTTATGTGACCACATTAAATGAAAGTTGAGTGGAAGGGAAACAATGCACAAGTAAGAAAGATAACAACAGGCTTCAGAGGATTTCAGTTAGTGGGAGAAACTAACACTGTTGGCATGCACTGAGCACTACACAGGACTAGTTCTCACTATTAATATTTAATGACCGACATTGGTGAGATTTATCATTTTTGTCTCCAAATGGGAAACCTGTCCCTTGAGCGCCTGAAGTGATTTCTGCCCCCCGAATCTGAGTTGCATGAGTAAACAAGACAATAAGCGCTCAATCTATACCCATCAGTCCATCCAGCATTCAAAATAACCCGGTCTAAGCGCTGGTCTCGTGTCATCTGCTCCTAAAGTCTGCGATCAATAGGCAATGAAGACAACTCAGACACACTCTGCCTCGCTGACAGCAAACAACAGAGAACAAACTATGCAGAAGTGCGACACCTCTCTTGCTGAATTATTCCAGCACCCATGACAGAGGCGGCGGATTTACACATCAAGGAACACCTCGCGTCCTCTCACAGGTGTGTGAACATCATAAAGCACGGTGGCAAGAGTGCAACTGGGCACAAGGACTCCAGAGAAGGGGCTCTGGCTGTTCCGTGAAATGTATGAATAGTTTTATGTCCGTGAGCTCAGCAGATAGTCATGACCTCATCTGTGGCTGTTCATGCAGAAATAGACATCCGATTAATCTGTAGTGGATTATATTTTATGCACAGTCTCCTTTGATGGTAATAAATCGTAAAAGGATCAGTCAACACGAGTTAAGCCCATTACTCGTATAATCATTTTGGTTTGTCCCCGGATCAACCTGTGGGTTTTCCTCTGCTGGGGCGGCATGTAGGGATCACCGATGATGTGCTAATGGCGATGTTTCAGCATTTCAACCTTGTGCATCATCCCAATTTGTGGCCATAAATAAGTGCGTGTCGTCACCCTTCTTGTGCACATTCAGTGCCACGTACTGCTCCTAAAATGAAATTACATATAGTGATGGAGCCGTTGTTGTTGTTCCCAGCAAGCGGCTCTCCACATGTGGCAGCGAAACTGTGGATGCGACGTACTAGTGAACACATTAGACAGATAAGGCGCATTGGTATTCTGCCGCCTCTCGCTGACGCTCCCCTCAAGGCCTTGTTGATAATACCCACTTTCCGTTTCTCCAGGGTCAGAGGTTAGAGCGTGATTGGCAGCAGCCTGAGAAAGGGAAGCAGGTTATGCTGACTTGGAGTCTAATTGTGCTGCGGCGCTCAGATGTTGGCGCTGCCACGGTCTTAATCTTACCCTATTCACACCTTGTTGCTTACAGGCTGTTCGCTAATCTTTGGACCCCATTGCCGGACCCCTCTGGGCGCCTCTGTCTCATGCAGTTGCACTGCAGCACCAAGGCCCTGCGCTAAGGCCATCTTAGTCATGCCGAATTGTTTTCCTTGCAACAAAGGCTTCTCTGCCTCATTCGCTTTCAGCCGCACCTCTCAGCTCTTTATTCCTCGCCGCCTCTGCTGTCTGCCAATATGCCCAAATGCACTCAACCAGAGAATCACATATAATTGTGATCTCCCTCTCAATCCCCCCCCCCACCTCACCCTCTCCCTACATCTATTTGTTACTCCTTCTTTTCCCCCCAAAAAACGCACTACACATCTCACATACAGATGTATAGTCTCTCACAGCCACATGTTATCAATGTTTCCAAACCAAACACGCCTGCATAGATAAATTTGAATTCTTTACCTCTAAGACTTTCATGCTGTCTGATTGTGAGGTGTCCTACATTTTTCAGCCTGCACTAAAATAGCTTATTCACTCTTTTAATTCCCATTTGGAGGGAAAGAAAAAGTGCCCACCTTGAACCACCAACACAGCCTCAACAAATTAAGTAGCATGGCAAAACCATAAAGATTCCTGCGTGCGTCCCAGAGTAATGACATGAAAGTAGTCCGCTGTCAGCTTAAAGCATTCATTTGGAGTCTTAGTCTGACAGATTTTATAGCAGCAAAGTATTAAGCAGAACACTTTTTCCTGTTACTTGCATGACAACCGCATCGTCTTGCTCTCAAAACCAAGCCAGAGCTGCTCGGCTTATTTGCTTTTTAAAGTTTAAGCAGACCCACTAAATCAGGATTGTTTGTTGTCCCCACTAAGCATGGACTGTACATTAAATACGAGGATTTTATGGGCTCCCATATAAATATCAAATCAAAAGCATACATTACACAGTTCATTCGGAAAATAACACAAATTCTTCATAGTGCTGCTGAAAGGGCACAGCATATTAATTATTGCAGTTGTAATTTTGTGTACAACATTTATGTAATGTTTTGAGTTATATACATAGACTAATGCAGAAATTGTGCATATGTACACATTAAATTTGCTAGTAGTTTTAAAAGCGCTTATTGTGCACTGTGGGTGTCGGGTTATTTACTGGCTGGTTAATTATTTGGACGCTCTGCTCAGGTAGCCAACCTGCAGGTGGCTGCTTGCCAGACTGGCTGCACAAAGATAGTCAAGTGTTGTTTTAATACATTAAAAATGAGAAAAAAATAATAAATATGATGGTGAAGCTCCTTTTTTCTCACATTATGATGAAATGGGTTTTTCGACACCGGATATTATGGCATGAAAGGCAAACGTCTTTTGCCAAGTTGCCTGACAGTGGCAACTTGAAGCCTTGTTAAACCAAAACTGAAGCTTTACATACATTCAAGCATCACTGGAAACATTCTGATGATTTCTTCTGCAAGAGAATAAATTAACTGGGAATAGTGAAAGCAAACACCTTTGGGATTTAATTTCAGCGTCTATGTCAGAGTAAAGAAAATATTCAATGTTTTTTAAAACACTGTTCCTAAGAGTATTATATTTACACCAAACCTTCCCGACCTGGCCGACCGCTCACCAAATGCCTCTGAAACATTATGCCTATTTCCTCCAAAACTAAATGTATCAGGCACTTGTCTTACACAGCACAAGGGGCATATCTGCCAAGATAAGCCCTGCATCCGCCCCCACACCTAAGAAAAAATAGGGTTGATTAACTGAAAACCTTTAAAATCCTGTTATGACTTTAAATCCATGCCAACAGTTAGTTTTTCTTATGAAACGTAAACGCTGTGGTAATTTTAGCAGGAGTTGATTTTATTTACAGAGTTGCAGACATGTTATGGTAATCAGAGCAGTTGCTCTATTCTAACACGGAGGTGATTTACAGCTGCTAAAATGCACTTTGACTGAAGTACTTAGCAAACACAATGTACAAAAATAACACAATATAAACAACACCAAAAAAAACTAAATCTAAAGGATACAATGGACAGCAATGGCCTACAGTGTCAATAATTTATATGTCGGGATGCATACACCACAACATGGTCTATGTCTAGGCCAAGGAGACCCATATGCTTACATAAATATTGCATCAAGAGCAGAGAGTAATGTAAACACCTGCTCATCCACTGCACAATGTGCAATTAGTTTCATTCTTAAAATTTAAGATTCACTTGCACATATGAGCCCTGGGGCCATGCATGGTCTAATCAAAATCGTATTCTCAGCACATTGAGGCACAGGAAGACCAGCAGGGAGGAACACTGAAAACATTGTTAGCTGTCCAGTGCTTCTAGAGTTTTAGGATGTCTGGGAGTCTGGGGGGATGTTGATTTATTAATGTGTTTTTGGAAAAGAGAAAAGAGGGAGGAAAAAAAATCCACCTTTGAAGAAAAATGGGGAAGCAAAGAGAGGAATTTGTAGCGTATAACAAGTCATTAAAGCAAAGAAGGCAAGGAGGCCACAAACCTCAGTGTATTTAATTGGAACTTAATGTGATAGATCAACACAATGCAGCGTGTAATTGCTGTAAAATGAAAAGGATACAAAGTTGTTGTTTTTTCTACAAATGATTAGCTAAAACATGGAGTGTGCATTTGTACTGAAACCGCACGGGTCAATACCGTCAGAACTGTATCTGCATGGCTGGCTGACCAGTCCTGTCCTTGTATGTTTGTTAGAGTATAGGAAGTGATCGTATTTCTTTGAATCAAAAATACAGGGGAGCAAAAACAAAAGTTTGCACACCAACATTAAAATGTGGGAGCGGTTGCTTCTCTTGCATAGTTTTCCAGGCATTTATGAGCATCAACCCATAGTTATCTTCATAATGTGCTTGGAAAAACAATTACATAAGGATGTAACGCTATAAGAACAATTACCAGTGTCTATGTCCCAATATTTATATTATATATATATATATATATATATATATATATATATATATATATATATATATATATATATATATATATATATATATTTTTATATCACAAATAACTGAGTTGCCTTTCTTTAGAGTAACAGAGAAACTGGTGATGCTCATGAATTGCAAAATACATATTGAACTTGAATGCAGCACACATAATTAATTGATTAGAAAACTTCATCAAAGAACAGTTCGTACAAACAGACTTTCAATATCAGTTCAAAGTTGTGCAGAGATAGGACACATTTACATAATCATTTTTTGCAATTCATGTATGGAAAACATATTGAAATGCAGTGACAGAGATGAAAGATACGGTGCTGACTTAAAGAGACTATGGAAAACAGAGAAAAACATGCGAGTGTGAATCTGCTGCTTTTTTATTCACCATAAATAACCTACAAATCAAGATAACTACACAAGCTGTTAATCACTGAGCCCTCCATCGTATGTATCTCGTCAACTGAAGGCCTTTTTCCTGTTGTTCCTAATCTTGTTGTTTTCTGCATTACCTTAAAACATTTGGTAATTAAGCCATATATGACTGGGATCAGGAATCAAGGTGAATAATCTATGTCTGGAAATCTCATGCGACCTACAAGTTATTCAGAGGAAGGTCAAGGGGTGAGAGGAAAACCTGGGATGGTGGGAAAACAAGTAGGGTGAAAAAAAAAAATTACATTTGAGCCTGGATGTTTTTGGATGCCTTTCCAGAGCAGGTGCATGGTGCTACAGATGGAAGATGGCTAGTGAGCACTTCTGAATTAATCCAGCACATTTTTTTTTTCTTCTTTTCTGTGCTCTGAAAAACATGCTGACTGGCATAAGGCTCACACTTACGCATGACATTAAAAGTTTATTTTTCGGGTTGTTCACATATACTATATATTTAAGGGGAACCGCTGCAATATTTTCTCCAAGTAGCTACCGCAATTATATTTTGATAACCTTGTCACTGAGAAATAATATTAAAAAGCTGTGTTACATTTTAAATAGAGTGCCAGACATTTAATGACAAAATTAATAAACAATGAAAATGAGTGCCTTCGCCAATCTCAAACCAATTATAAACTTCTGTTCTGAAGATGTCATACTTGTTTAAGCAGAACTATCAGACACCGATTAGTAGAAATGGGAATAATAGCTTCCCTGCGAGCAAAAGATATGTAGGAGGCATCCACTGACACATCAGACGGTGAAACTGATTGCACATTTGACAATAATAATCCGATGTGCTCACAAAACCTGCATACACAGTGGAAGATGGCGATATAAAAACCTTTTCTCGATTATTTGAGATTCTTCCCTTTTCTTTGATACACTTAGATAAAATTGAGCTCAACCAGTTGCCTTCAGAAGACACCTGGTGTGTTACTAGAGCACACCTTTGTGTAATTCAACTTCAGTATAAAAACAATTGTTCTAAGAACAAACATCATGAAGGCTGAGGAATGCACCAGACAAGTCCGGTAAATAGTTGTGGAGAAGTTGAAAGCTCTCCAAAGCACACATTCCCCTGAGGTAAAACATCATGATGCCTTTCTTTGCATCGTAGTTCGTAGAAAGATAAGTAGAGATGAAATACAAAACGCTCCTAAAGGAAAACTGTTGGAGATAAAGGCCTTGAGATTGACGTTCCAGCAGAATGGCAACCATAAACATACAGTCCGAGCCACAATAATTTATTTATTTTACTTAGATCAAAGCGTGGTCATTTGTTACACCAACCCAGGCAAAGCCAGACCTAAGTCCAATTTTGACTTGTAGCAACACCTGGAAATTGACGTGTCATTCTGTCTGGCTGTGCCTGAGCCATTTCGGCAAAAGTGTTGGTCTCTTAATGTGCAAAGCCTGCAGAGAAACACCCCAAAAGACTTGTAGCTGCACGAAGGCACTTGATGGCAGTGGATTTAATCTATACTCATTAAAGGAAAAGGAGGTAAATACAATATATAGACCACACTTTTAGGTTTTCATTTGTGAAAGAAAACAAAACAGAAAAAAAAATCATTTTCACTTTCATTTACACCTGTCGCATAAAATCCAAGTGAAACACTCCAGCATTTGTGGCTGTAACCACAACCAACTAAAATATGGAAATGCCCATTGGATATGAAGACTTTTGCAGTTCGCCATATTACTGCTGTTTCTGCTCTTTTGCATGTGAATGTTTTCTAATGCGACTTGAGCGAGGATGCAAATTAGGCCTAATGGATTCATCTGCGCCATCCAGTTCTCGACAAGCAGAAGGCTGTAAAAGTTGCTGCTGCTGCTGATGCTGAGAGAGCCCCGGCTCTTAACTTTGATCTGATGCGAGCATGTGTTGGAGTAAATGTTACCTGCCAGTAGATGTCAAATAAAATTCTGCTGAAGCTAAAAGCTCTCATCTCTGTCTGTGTTTGTTGCCTCTACAGATCTCAGAGTGCTTAATGCCATTAATGTCTACTGGCATTAACACCCACCACTAAGGAGCCTGTTCCTCCCCACAACTCTTCCGTCTCTGTCCGGCTGCCGAGAAGGTTCGTTCTCTCGCATTTTGATCCCACTTCCAATGGAGAACCTCAGCGAACTGCAGAACCCGTTGCTGGACAAGAACAGTAAGCACATGGTCAATGGTTACGGAGGAGAATTCCCCAATAACCAATACCAAGAAAACATTATTAACTACTTTACCGGAGGAGGAGGAAGAGGAGGAGGCCCCGGTGGAGGTGAGGGCGGTGAAGGAGGAGGATTGGTAAATAATGGGAATGTAGTCAGTGGAGGAAGTTACAGCACCAATGGGAAGGTGAAGTCGCAGCAGTTTCTGGACGCCACCTCTCTGCATCTGGCGGTGGAGGCTTTCTACAGGCCTAACTTCATCTTGTACAAGGAGGACAGCGGAAGCATCAAGGCTAAGGAATACAAAAGCGAGTGCTGCGAGACTACCTTTACCGAGAAGAAGGCAAAGGAGGTGTCCAGCACAGCGGGAGGGGACACGCCCGGCGCAGAGGACCCTCAGTCCAAGCTGCTCGACGATGGCGAACATGTCAAGATTCAGACTGTTTCTTACGAGGTGGAGGAGGAGGAATATGTGGAGTATGAGGTAAGAGCAGTTCGAAGGCGGCGTGATTTCGTCAAAAATATTCAAACGCACTCTTAGAACCGCTGTAATGTGTCAGCTTATCCGCATCTGAAAGAAGCTGTGCATGTAAAGCAATTAATTCATTTTGCTCCTTGCTCCTGTCCCATCATATCCAACGTTTCCATATATGCTGCCGATTTGAGAAACGCATTTTACCGGGGTCTAAAAGTGAAGAACTGAAGGAAAGTTTGAGGAAAATCCTGTAAGCTGATATTTGGATCTGCTGAATGTGACCTACTTTCTGATTAATTCATCTAATCAATATTTGACCTCTTGGGGGCATGTATAGGTTATGGTCACGCTTAAACCAAAAGTGGCTCAAATCCAACTATTTTGCTCAAGTGATCCATTGCTTAGCCTGAACCGTACAAATCAGATTTATTTTTCAAATTAGACCACTGGCCACCCTGATGAATGCTTGTGAACTGCAGATGGTTCTGATGTGTTTTGCTGAGTCAAAGTTTGTCTCTTGTTGACTCCTTGAAAATATCGTAGACAATAAAGATACTCACTCACTGAAATGGGATTTTAGCTCTTTCTAATAAATTATTAGCTAAAAGCTTGGCACAAAGCAGCGTGTTACATCTTTCACGCTTTGAGATGCAGATTTTTTGTTTGTTTTTTTGTCCTGCTCTTGCAGAGTCCTTTTTAAGTACTCACCACGCAGCATCCAACGATGGTCGGGTACATGTCGGGGTAGAAAATGAGAGAAAACGCTTGTATTTCTGTGGCACACGTGCTTTTATATTCAGGTCTTTTGTAAGACTGACATTTTACTGAGAGTAAATCTCTTTTGATGCACCGACCTCGCAGTCAGTTCCCACTATTGGTAACTCAATCGCTAGATTTTATGAAATCACAGGGCTTCCTTGAACAGAAATATTGGGTACTTGGCACAAAATTAGCTGCAGCATTTTCACTCTCAGCCAGCACAACCAATTGCAAAGAAAATAAAAAATACTCAAAAGGATTTAACGAACCCGACAAGCAGAATAGGGAGTTGGGAACCGATTGGTGTCCTGTGCTGGGTTCTGCACACGGATGGCTACTGGATAATTATGACAAACATCAGGCATATTTACCATGTAGACATGAAATAGTCTCTGGGGAAAGAAAGCACTCTTCGACTGGCTTTGATGTATAGACACAAAAGAGGAAATTATTTCTTGATTTGGAATTTCCTCCATTTCTCCATTTTCATGGATTTAGATGCAAACGTCGTGTTTGATCGGTGGAATCTCATTGACATTGTTTTATTGCCGTTATTCTTTTCGCACACATTCTCTTTGAGGCGCATCAACAGGTTACTTTGAGATGTAAAGAGTGAAGTAAACATTGGGAGTCATTACGTAGAGGCCCAGCAGGAAACAAATGACACTTCCAAGGTGTTTCTAACTCTCCTGCCCACAGGACAACATCAAAGATCTGAGACTAGAAAGTCTGTCTGCTGAGATGCACTGTGGTTGAGATTTAGCGCTCAGAAAAAAAAAAAAAAGAAATGTTTTCACCATGAATCTATATTCTCAACTTCATATTTGCAGACAGTTTCCTCCCAGGAATTAATGCGCCATTTCAGTATTTCCCTTGATTCTTTTTTTAATTTTTAATTTTGTTTTTTGCAGATTTTTCTGAAGGCATCGTGCAAGAAACATCGTTCTGCCTGGTGAATGGCCATGTTATCGGTTTGATCTATCAGTTTAAATCTTCATTGTAAACATTTTGCCTACCCCTTCTGGCAATTAGAGTAAATTTAATGTTTGTCCTTGTGGAGAAAGGCTTCCGTTCTAGGATATTAAAATAGGTGAATGAAGACCTTTCTCTTTTTGCCAGGTGTCTCACCCACTTTTTGCTGTAACCAAGGTCTCTATGTTTTTAATATTTTTTGCTTTACTCATCGTGTAAATGATGAGTTTGTCTGAGGTACTTAATGGGCCTCAACATTGAAATTATTAGCCTATCTTTACACATAATTGCAGCTTATAAACCACGTACAGTTGAAACCTGATATATATGCAAGCGAAATAAAAAGATATATTTTAGATATCGAAAGATTGTGCACACAGCTGTAAGGGTGCATGACTCTGATGTTTAGCCATGCAGAGAGCCATGTGCATTGTGGCTAAACTGAAACTGGGTCATTAACAGGTCAATGATTTCAAACACAACAGCTACGACTGGAAAAACAAAAGGCATTCACACAAAGTCAAACTTCAGACTTCAACATTATTGAAATTTTGTGTCGACGTGTGCAGAATCGAATGCCTGCAAACTCAGTTAATCGTGAGGTATGTTTGGTCATTGACACACAAAGCTTTTTCATTTCGTCCATATGCACAACACACAAAACCCTAGAACTGAACGAGAGCCCCGTTAAGAGTTGCGCTATAAACTAACACACCACTTTATAACTAGAAATCTGGTTTGAAGTCTTGCTTTGTTTTATCTGTAACTAACAGCTGCTGTTTTCGGTTTATCACGAAAAAATAAATAGCTAAAAGAATTAACGGGAAACAGGCTCTAGTGGAATTAAGTCTTCTTCAATTTTACGATCAAAAGACAGAGACTAAAGTAAATGAAATCAAAGTGCCTAAGTAAATTACCAAAAGTCCAAAGGGAGAATCAATAAAGGGGAAAAGGAATATTGTTTTAATAATATATCATGATAAACTCCTGTTGATGTTGGAATTCGTTAGTTTATTTCCAAACTTCACAATACCTTTTTATTCAATCATGTCATTGTGACCTCTTTTTGAGATAGTAAAATAACTACAGGAATAAAGTTAATAAATGATGAATAAATCCAAAATATATACAAACATACATATGTACTAAAATTAGCATGTCTAAGCCTTAAGATGTTAAACTTTTGTAAAAAAAAAAATATTTTATTTATTGGCTTTTTGAAGAATATTACTCAGTTTTGTTTACAGGTGAATTTTCTGTCTCCAGATCTTGTTTGGATGTTTTTCTAATTTCTATTTTTTTTTTTTTTTTTTTTAGTTAATGTGAATATTTGTCAACTAGTCTTTATAGATTTATCAACTTTTTTACTAGCCCTATGATTCGGTTGAACTCTTGGAGACGTTCCTGAAATTCTTCAGACCAAAACGATTTTTTAAGATGTATGGCCATTGTTTCACACCGGGCCTCTTTGAAGAGCATTACCAGTGCAATTATTGTTTTTTGTCTTCAGAATTCAGCAAACCTAAGGCTTCAAGGTCTCCATGCCAGACTACCAAGGTAATATTACCTGCTTCTTCTCATCAGCCTGTGCTTTAACACATGTACAATAAGCACAGGAGGTCAGCCAAATGAACCACCATCTGTCTCCATCACGCTGTAGCCTCAGTGTGCATTGGCAGGTGAGAGCATGAGGACATTTGGCCAACTAAGCATGGGAAAAAAGAAAAAAAAAAGCCACTTCTTTTTAGCGCCTGCCTCTCTGAAGCAAGGACGTGGCATTTACTTGGTTAGATTCCTTATAGGTTTGTTATTTCTGTGGTCATTGGAAGGAGATCACACAAAAGATGTGTACTGCCAGAACACGCTGCAGTGGATTCTGAAATGCTGTCAGTGTTGCAGTGGCATTGTTGCACAGTGGGTAAACAACTGCTTTAGTACATTTGCTGTGTTGCAGCATGCTGAGAAATTCACTGGAAGCAGCACATTAAAAAGCATGCTGAAATACATAAAGCAGTAACTGACCTTTTAATAGCTCAGGGATGCTTTTCATATTTACTATGTATGTATAAGTTCTTTAAATATACAGTTATAGATAAGCAACAAGAACAATATTTGTCTTCACAGAAAAATTCCCTCTACAATCAATTAATATAGTTATTTTTGTCTTTAGAGAGTGAATGAAACATTTGCTAAGGGCTCGTTGAAATAAAGATTTTGCTAAACAATAGATAGTTGTGGTTAGAACTGTGTAATGCTTCTGCTTAATTGCAGACCAACAAAAATCATCTGAAGTTACAAAAACCAATGGTATGAGGTTCTGGGGGACAAATACATATATGTACATGTTTAGGGAACGCAGCTCACACTGTCTCTCCCTATTCCATATAAAAACAACTGTTGTGCACATTGCATTCCTGAAAAAATGCACTTTGTATCATGAATCTTATATTAGTAATGGATAACAGGCAGGTTTATGGATGCTGTTTACCTGGCAGGTACTTAGCACAACAACACAGTGTGGGAAGAAGGAGAGGATGCAGCTACAAGTTGTGTTGTGTATTCATTTGTGCAAAAAGCAGCTCATTCCTCTAGCAGGAATGAGCTGCTTTTTATGCGGACGATGTGCTGAAAAGTACTAAATATTGTACTTTGAGTAAAACACCTTCATGGAAACGGCAATCCCCGGCTCTCGGTGGAATATTATGAATGTGCAGTGCAGCCAAAATGGTTCAAAAACATGCAAACATCCTGAGTTTGAGTTTGATTTCAGCAGCACTGTTTAAAACTGCGGTGATAAAGAGATATGTGTGTGCTCGTGCGCGCTCGTGTGCATGTATCCATTAAGTTGTGCACAGTTGTTAGATCTAGATTTGAAGTGTTATGCATATTGTCAGCTCTAAACTTGGACTCAGTGGGGTAAAATGAAGCCATGTTCGTGGAAAAGCTGTGCACAAATCTGCAAAAAAAAAAAAAAAGGTGATTTTTCATTGAGCAAGCAGTTAGTTACGCCAATGAGTGCATGTTTCCTTGAAAAGTCAGCGGTAAACTGTGTTTTCAAGTCTCATCTGGTGAAATGTGCAGCCTTTTGTCCACAGTTGGGGGAAAAAAAAACCCGAGAGAGCAGCAGATGGTGTTGGTGTCCACACTAAGACATCTGCTGACTATATAAAGAACACAGACTAGCCAACATCCCATCATCCCTGTCCTTATTTGCCTCAGCTCAAGACGCAAAGTGGTGTGAAAAAGATCTCACTTCCTGCAGGTCAGTCAACCAGGTT